ATATATCTTGACTGCTGATATAGTCAAGATGTATCGGCAGGTAAAAATACACCCCGATGATGCCAAATATCAAAAAATTATTTTTCGATAATCCCCTGATACACGTGAGAATTTCTTCACTTTAAATACGGTGCCTTTAGGGTTGCTAGTGCTCCTTTCTTAGCCATTCGAGTTTTGCATCAATTAGCCGAGGATGAATGTTCTAATCATCCGGAGGCAGCAATAGCATTGAAGGATGATTTTTACGTCGATGATTGCATGACAGGTCGAGATACTCGAGAGGAAGCGCTCGAATTGCGGGACAACCTTATTAAACTTTTAAAAAGGGGAGGATTTCAGCTTAGGAAATGGGCCTCTAATAGCACTTCTATTGCATCAGATCTGGGCAATTCAAGAGAGGATCCCTTTATGGCACTCGATTCCCCAGATGCCATAAAACCATTAGGCGTTTATTGGAATTTTCATGAGGATACTATTTCTTATATTGTGAAAATTCCCGAATCCTTTGGAAAGGTTACAAAAAGAAAAATTATATCACAAGTCGCAAAAATATTCGATCCTTACGGTCTCTTAGGTCCTATTGTTATTCCCGGGAAAATTATGATGCAAGAATTATGGAAATTAAATATTCATTGGGATGAAGCCATTCCTAATTCTATCGAAACCTCTTGGTGTGAATATTTGCAACAATTGCCGTCCGTTAATCAACTTCGATTCAACAGATATGTTATAGCCAAAAATGCAAAAAATATACAACTTCATGGGTTTTGTGATGCGAGTGAAAAAGCGTACGGCGCGTGCCTTTATGTACGCACGGTCGACGAAAGGGGACAAACTCAGGTAGTTCTTTTGTGTTCTAAATCACGAGTTGCACCGGTCAAAACTGTATCTTTGCCCCGACTAGAATTATGTTCAGCATTTTTATTAGCGGAACTTCAAGGTTCCGTCCTACGGAAGCTTTAAAAATTTATTTCGATCAAACTTATTTTTAGTCAGATTCCACTATTGCTCTTCACTGGATCAACACAAAACCACATTTGTTAAAAACTTTTGTTGTGAATCGTGTAGCAAAAATACAATCACTCACAGATATTTAACAATGGAGACATGTTCCTACTTCTGAAAATCCAGCTGACCTTATATCACGAGGACAAATGCCTAATGATTTTATACAGGGTGTCTTGTGGTCTAATGGTCCTTGTTTTCTTCTTAATACCGAGGAACAATGACCCTTGTTTAAATTGACGAATGAAACTATACCTGAGTTGAAACCTCAAGGGTCAGTGCAGATTTCTATGGTAATTACTATCAAGGGATGAGATTCTTGAAAATCAATCTTCTTTCAGAACCCTCGTTAGAGTCATTGCATTTTGTTTTCGCTTTGCACATAATGCAAGGGGGCGCAATAAACAAATTGATGAGTTAACAAAGGACGAAATCGATTTAGCTATAAATCGAATCATGCAGACTTGTGCAAAAAGGAGATTTTTCTAAGGAGCTTTCAGCTTTGAATGAGCAAAAAAATATTGATCCAAAAAGTCCGATTCTATCCCTCAACCCTTTCATCAATGATGGAAATTTAAGAGTCGGTGGTCGACTTAAATATTCTGATTTACAACCAGAGCAAAAGCACCCAATACTTTTGCCACGAAATCACCACGTAACATTACTTATTATCCGCGAAGAACATATCAGACTTCAACATGCGGGCATCCAAACCACGTTGTATTCAGTTAGAAAACAATATTGGCCTATGAATGGACGAAATGTTACGCGAAAAATCATACATCAATGTGTTACTTGTATTTGCGCTAGACCTCGCGGTATAAATTACGTCATGGGAAACTTACCTGCGAAACGCGTAAACTTCGTTCGCCCGTTCCTACATACTGGAGTGGATTATTGTGGCCCTTTTTTTATAAAGGAAAAACGATTGCGAAACCGTGGCAAGGTTAAATGTTATGTTGCTATTTTTGTTTGCCTCGCGTGTAAAGCTGTACATTTAGAGGTAGTGAGCGATCTCACTACTGAATCATTTCTTGCAGCTTTGAGTCGATTTATCTCTCGTCGAGGAAAACCAATTTCCATAACATCCGATAATGCTACGAATTTTAAAGATGCTAATCGCGAATTAGTTGAATTGCAAAGAATGTTGTTGTCAAATGAGCACAATAAAGATGTCAAACGTTTTTTAACTTCAAGTAACATCGCATGGAATTTCATTCCACCCCGCGCTCCACATTTTGGCGGTTTATGAGAAGCAAGTGTAAAGTCGTTTAAACATCACTTTTTTACGCACTGTGGGTGACACTCTTTTAACCTACGATCAACTTGAAACTTACGCGATAGAGATTGAGTCAGTATTAAACTCCCGTTCTTTATCACTTTTGTCATCTGATCCTAATGATCCCCGACCTTTAACCCCTGGTCATTTTTTGATTGGCGAACCATTGACGAGCTATTCTCAAGCTGATTTACGCAATACGCCCATCAATAGATTATCTGCATGGCAGCATTCGCAATTATTGAGAAGACACTTCTGGACTAGATGGCACAAGGAATATTTAAACGAGCTCAACACTCGCACCAAATGGAAAAATGGTAACACAAATATAACCATTGGTACTTTGGTGGTACTACAGGAAGAAAATACAGCACCATTACATTGGGTACTCGGTAGAGTCATTGAGGTTCATCCAGCCGAGGATGGAATTGTGCGTGTTGTAACCGTAAAAACAGAAGCTGGGACTTATAAGAGATGTGTAAAGCGTATTTGTCCTTTGCCAAATGATCAGCATTGTGAAAATTCTCCTTTATAAATTTCACGACGTGTCACATCTACGCAAAAAATAAATTTATCTTTGATAACAAAGCAACTGTTAGAAATCGACAAACTGTTATTTTAGGATTTAGTCGCTGTAAAAGGCTCATTAAATTATACGACGAGTCCAGATAAATTTTTCTGTATATCTGAATTATACCTTTATCAAATTTGTTTGCAATCCTTGAATGAACTACGACAAGATACCCCCACCTATGAATTTTCATCCCTTCTCAAATTCCCTTTTTCTCCCACTCAAATTTTTGCTGTCATACTACTTGTAATTTTCCGAACTTTAATCTTAAAAACAGAAACAATTTACCTTTCAAAAGAGAAAGATCTGTTCCGCCTATTATACGCGCGACAGTATTCACTAATGTAATTTTTGAAGATTGTAAAAATATATGTATTAAAGTGAATATCGTTTCCTTCTTTATTTAGTAATTCCTGAAATTAACGGACATAATTTTAGTCTCGTTAATTAAAGAAACGGAAACATCAAGTCAAACTAGACTTGGTGCTAACAATTAGTATTCTTTTTTAAAATCTTATTACATTGCAAAAATTGGCAGCAAAAACAAGGAAATTGTTGAACAAATGCCGAAAAGTTAATTAAAAAATTTTTATGATCACTATAAACCAAATAAATATTATATTTTCAAATTTTTAGACCTAAATTATTTAATACTTTATTGATCTATTTAATAATTAATAGATAAATACTAAAAATATTACAAAAACCCTGGCGGATTGGAAAAACCGAGTTGTAACCGAATTGGGTTACGATTCGGTTACGATTCGGTTACGTTTCGGTTCATTGTGAAATATTATCGTTAATCGACGAAATATGTAGTAAATAACTATTAGGAATGGTTAATATACATTTAGAGAGCTTATTTATGCAATATTAATAATAAATTGAGATATAATTAATTAATAATAAGTGTTTTAAGTGTACAGTGCATACAGTTGTTGAATTACCATATATATGTATATTACCATCAGCGGCAGCTGTGATACGCACGTTAAACCCTAGATGGCGTTAAGGATGACTTTCTGACTGAATTTCTAAAATTAAGCTCTTGAGTGTCAAATGTGTAAGTGAATATATAAGTTTTAAAAAAATAGATCAATTTATTAAAACAACTTTTTTGATTTGTACAAATATAAAAAAAAAATTTTTTATACCGAACAAAAATTTTTTTAATGAGAAAAAGTTTTTTTTGGGTCAAAATTAATCTTTCTCATTTTTTTTTTTTTGAATAAATTTTTTTTGAATTTTTGAATAAAAAATTTTTTTTTCTCAATAAAATGAAAAAGATTAATTTTGACACAAAAAAATCTTTTTCTCATTAAAAATATTTTTGTTCGTTATAAAAATTTTATTTTTGTATTTGTACAAATCAAAAAAGTTGTTTTAATAAATTGATCTATTTTTTTAAAACTTATATATTCACTTACACATTTGACACTCAAGGGCTTAATTTTAGAAATTTATTCACAAAGTCATCCTTAACGCCATCTAGAGTTTAACGCGCGTATCACAGCTGCCGCTGATGGTAATATACATATATATGGTAATTCAATAACTGTATGCACTGTACACTTAAAACACTTATTTTTAATTAATTATATCTTAATTTATTATTATTATTGCATAAATAAGCACTTTAAATGTATATTAACCATTCCCAATAGTTATTTACTAAATATTTCGACGATTAACGATAATATTTCACAATGAACCGAAAACGTAACCGAATCGTAACCCAATTCGGTTACAACTCGGTTTTCCCAATCCGCCAGGGAATATTTTTAAAAATGAGTATAACTTCAGAAACCCATAAAAAAGAAATGCGAGCTAATTTTTTAAAATCCTTTGGGAATTTAATTATTACATAAAGCTACTTTAATTTGCCACTAGTGCCATTCGGGAAAGAAAAAAGTGTTGCACAGTGTAATCCTTTGTAAAAGGATTAAAACATCGACTATTAAAAATTTTTTGTTTTTCCATTTTAACAGAATGGCCTAAAAATTATAATCTTTACAAACACCTGAGTTTAAAAAACTATTATTCAGTATTTATTACATTGATTGTCATTAGTTATTATTTTTTCAGATTAGGAACCATTTAGAAGTGTTAATAAATAAGTTATTTAAATTTTAAACATATACTTACTCATACGTAATTTGAATTGTATTTGAATTTTGAAAACCAGAAAGAGAACGAGGAATTCTGGTCCAATTCATGCTTCCTGGTGGCTGATTTCCTCTTTTTTCACCGTATATTAATCCGCAGACAGGACACTGAATATAAATCGGTTGCTTTTGATTATGTAGCATTGCATTAAGACACGCTAAATGTAATCTATGTCTGCAACGTGTCAATTCTACAGTTAGTGGTTCCGGAGGTCCAAGACATACAGGACAAGAGTCAGATTCATCACTTTCTACAACTTTAACATATTGTGATATTACGTCAGAAGCCATATCCACACCTGCAACATTGTCAGTATTTTTAAATTCTGATACTACTCACATTTCTTACCTACATAACACCTAGTTGTACTTATTAAACTCAATTAATTTTCCAGTAATTACATACCAACAAGAGATTCTTTGTAGGCATCATCAATTCCCACACTACTGTCTAGCAAGTCAATAGGGTTCTCATGACTGAGGTAAGTAGAGACCGTATCTACACTTGGCCTTCGACCACTCTTTGTACTACTAGAATCTGCATCCAAAATTGTGTCCCAAGTCTTTTTCTTTTGATCACACGAAACTGAATTCTCTGAATTGTTTTCTACACCATGCTTGCTACTAAATATATTGAAATTGCTTAGAATTACTTTAGCAATGTTTGTGGGACCGGTGTCATTTTTATTCTAAAAATTGAAATAAATAATTAATTATTATATTTACATAGTTTAACAGCTTCTTTTTACTGTCACTTTAAAAGATAGTTGAAATTAATATATTTTATAACAATAAATATTTATTTATTTACATACTTTCTTATTATTTTTTTTATTATTATTGCTTGAAGTCTTTTTATTGCTCGTTGATTTGGAACTTCCAGATTTTGAAATCGTTGACATAAACCTTTTTTCAGTATTAATGTGTAATTCTTCGAGAGTTACTTTTACTAAGGGATAAGGTGCTTGTAAAATTCTACGAATAGACCTTACATAACCAGTGCAACATCGAACTTGAGTTAAATTACAAAAGTTTATAATATATGGAAAGCCCAAATACGTTTTAGATACGTCTATAGTCTTATCTCCCTAAAAAAGAGGAAATACAAAACACATTAGTATACGCTTAAATAATTATATTTAGAAACAAATAATGATGAACAATTTTTAAGTACTACCTTTGCCCAGGCTTCTTCAATAAGACATTGTACTTCCATATCATAAGTATGCCAATCATCAGTATCGCCGGCCCATTCCCACTTAGCTCCTCTGCCTGCTGGTGAACCAGGAAGATAAAATTTTCTTCTAACTTCATGACATTCGTCAACCTCTTCCGTACATTGCATTTTGGTTTTTAAATTTATGTAATATCTGAAAAATTTAAAGGTAAATTTAAATTAATTACTTAAGGACCTTACACTGTTTTTTTTTTTTTGCTTTTTTAGGATTCCGTACTCGGTTCGGAACCCTATTAATATCGGTTTTTTGAAATCGTGTACCCCCCCCCCCTAGCGGTCACATGAATTTATCTGAAGAACTAAAATTTGGTACACATATGTATTTTTGCGTGTAGATTGCAGGAAAAATATAGCGAACCAGATTAGAATTGATTGTCATAGCGTTGTCAAGGAAAAAACATGAATTTTTACGAAAAATGCCTAAAAATGACTATGTACCCCCCCCCCTAGCGGGCACATCTTTTGACATAAAAAGCTCAAATTTGGCACACTTACGTATTTTTACGTGAAAATTACAGGAAAAATATAGCGAACTTGATTCGTATCAATTTACATAGCGTTGGCAAGGAAAAATCAAAAATTTCAAAAAAAAAAATGGTTTATTCTCCCTAGTGCACACAATATTCGATCCAGACAGTTCATATTTAGTATACAAATTTATTTTTACAGGAAAAATACAGGAACAAAGGCGGTCACGTTTAGAGATGATGAATAACTTTTTATCAAGTTTTTCAAGAAAAAATGCCAATTTTAGGAAAAAAATGTATTTTTCCACCAAAAACGAACAAAATTTTATTTAAAGGAAATCAAATTTATATATTTTAACGTATTTTTACGTGTAGATTACAAAAAAATATAGCGAGCATGATTGGAGTTGATTATCATAGCGTTGTCAAGGAAAAACCATGAATTTTTACGAAAAATACCTAAAAATGACTATGTACCCCCCCCCCCTAGCAGCCACATCTTTTGACATAAAGAGCTCAAATTTGGTACACTTACCTATTTTTACGTAAAAATCACAGGAAAAATATAGCGAACTTGATTCGGATCAATTTACATAGCGTTGTCAAGGAAAAATAAAAAATTTCGAAAAAAAATGATTTAATCTCCCTAGCGCACACAATTGTAGGCAACGTTAGTCATAGTTTTTGGTTATTCATTATTTTTATTTCATGCAAATAATGTTAGTTTGTCTTCAATTAATTACTTTTTAATTATATGTATATTTCAGTTCCTTGTGAATTGAAAAAAATTCGAAGAAGATGGGAGAGTTTAAAAGAAAAGTACGTGGCAGCTAAACATGATGTTAGCATTTTTAAAAATCGCGCGTCCAACCGGAAATCTATTTTGAGCGGAAAAAATGTGGCTAGTAGCACATTTTGTAAATTTTAGTGTACGTCAGTGTGCGAAAAGGCATGGCAAGAGAATGAGCGTTGTGCGTCTATTGAAGAATATAGTGAGCGAACCAGTGCGATAATTGAATGGTGAATTTCGGAAAGGGCTCAACTCGAAAAAGCGTAAGTGTCATTTTCGCATAACAATTGATAGTGAAAATGACTCTTAGCCTTTTTAGAGTTGAGCCCTTTTCGAAATTCACCATTCAATTATATTTATCTTATTTTTACTAAACTTAATCTTTTAATAAATGCATTTAACTAAATAATAAAACGTGGCTTTAATTCTAATCCCGATTGTTTCATCAGTGGACCGCGGAGACTTTTCATGATTCAAAAGAGAAAAACAGAACATTAAAATATTATTATTAAAGTTTCTTACAATGAGGAAAGAATACATAGGCCTAGTGGATCGGCAGCGTTTGAAAAAAAGAACATGATTTCAGTTTATTTCAGTTGATGACATTTTTGGACGACTTATGCAAACCGTCAAGGTAATAAAATATCGAATATTAGTAGCAACATATCGGTCTTTTCATGTGAAGTATTCGTTAAAATATTTTTTCGAATTGAACCTTTTTTCAAAATCTTTATGAAAAATATGCAAATATATTTTGATTTTTCAATTTGATGAAAATTATGGAATTTACACTACCGTCAAAAATTGTGCGATCTCTGCTTTTTCGATGACTAAAAAACGGTTTAAATCTTCAAAAATATTAATAAATAAATAAATATTGTTTTAAATATTTCGAATTAGATAACAAAATACCATTCCAATGATCCCAAGAACGTACGCCTGAAATGAATTTTATTTAAAATTTACTTGCACTCTCTAAAATTTCTTGTGGATTTTGAATATTTGAGGTTCCCATATTATTTTTAAACAAAGAAGAAAATTTTAATTAAACTTAAGGTTGATTTGGTCTAAATCCATATCTGGTAACCATCTAGTAATTTCTATTTTACATTTTGCATCTACATGAGACTTGACTCTTAAAAGCAATTTTTTAGCGACAAATGCGAGTAGATAAATTTGCTATTTTTCACGTGGAGTATTTAGAGCAAAAAGTGAAATTGTCTGCTGCTGAATCAGTAAATAATCCAACAAAAAACACTGAATGCAAAGAGAAAAAAAGACAAATATGGATTTAACATCCGCTACTTTGAAAAATTCAGAACTAGAAATCGACAGCCATGACGACATTCATCTTTCTAGTGACAAGAAAATGGATCAACAAAAGACAAATTGTAATTTAACATCTATTACATTGAAAACGTCAGTTGAAATAGAAATGGACAGTAATGACAATCAGCTTCCCAGTTTCAAAGGGATTTCATCACTCGAACAAGAATCTTCCATTTCAATAGAAGTAGAAAGTTTCGATTTTGATTTATAAAGATAGAGCAAATATCTTATTAGATATTGCAGATCGGGATAATTTAATTTTTAAGTCTTTTCAGACTCGTAAGATGCATACAATTGACGCAAAATGCAATGCTGCACACCTTGATGAAATTTTATTTTATGAAGTTCCAAGCTATTCAGCGATTTGCAAATGTTCCAATTCCAAATGTCTTTATTCAAATGAGACAAAATATCTCTCACTGGCAATAAATATCAACATTATTCTTCTAAATAGAATGGGACATTTGCAAAGCGCTGTAGATGACAATCAAAGTAATAAGAAATTATTTAGAAGCCAAAAATGTGGAAATACGAATAAATTAAAAACTGAATACGGTCCTAATATAATAATTGACACTTCCCTTCTTAACCATGATACTTATATCGAAAGATTAAAAACAAATTTAAAGGTACTATAGGAGTCTTGAAACAAAAAATCTTCTTAGATGCAGTATATTAGCGATAACGCAAAATTAAAAGAAAGAAATAAATATTTAAAACAAATAAAAGTATTAAATAAATTTTTACTCGAGTCAATTCCTTTGTCAGTTTGTATTAACGACGAAATATACAAAATTTCTGGAGTTGTTGATTATAATTCCGAAGACGAACATTACAAGTCCTATATATGGAAAAATAAATGGTATTTGTATGACGATTTATGCAGTAGTGAAACATTACCAATGGATAATTAAAAAACTAGTCCTCATGTTTTATTTTACGTAAGATAAAAAAGTCTAAAAAAGATAATTAACTTCCGAGAAGTTGGCAAAGCCATTTTATTTTTCAAAAAAGCAATTTTTGCGCTAAATTGTGCTAATTTTGTGCTAATTCATGCTGCAAAAATTTTTTTGAAAAAATAAAAATAGCGGTCAAAATTTAAGAAATATTGTTTTTAGTTTAAAATTTATTGATTAATTTTTATTCCAATCAAATTATTCGGCAAGTCATAATGTAACACCAATAAAATCTGCAAAAGAAATTAAAAAAAAAATTTTTTCCAATAAAACGAAAATTCAAAATAAAAATTTTAACCCTAAAATGGGCTAGTCGAGAAGAATTAAGCACAAAAATTGTTTTTTAAAAATTTTGATATTTGCCCATTTTAGAGTGAAAAATGTTACTTTTGAGTAATAAAGTTGCAATTTCTTTTGAGTTTACACAGTTTTTCTAAAATGTTTTTAAAGATTATTTTTGTGATAGTTGTGCAGAATACAGCATAAAAATTGTTTTTCAATAATTTTGATATTTGCCTATTTTAGGATTAAGAATGTTATTGCTTTCTCGTAGGAAGCTTTATAGTGATGACAATTTTCGAACTTCCTAAAATCAATTATTTTAATAAATTTTTAACTAATATAAATATATTTCGATATGAGGAACAAATGTCCGGATGTATGTGTGTGTATGTGGATATGTGTGTATGGCACCGCTTCTTGTGTACGAATTATCTCAAACAAATGTTGACGGATCGCCCGGAAATTTTGCATACTAATTCTACTTACTAATACCAAAAATCCGACAAAAGGATTTCCAAAAATATCAACACAATTTTTTTGAGACCATTTTTCCAAAAAGTTAAAAATACATTTTTTGATAAAAAAGCTTTTTATTATAAAAATTTCACTTTATTTATTTTAAAAAGGTAGGGGAATAGTGTCAGGGTTGGACACAGTTTTGGTTTTTTGTTTATAAATATTTTGTTTAGATAAATTCAGTCAATTGTGGTATATGGGTGGAAAGATCTACAAAAGAGGAACACTTTTGCTGTGGACCGTAAATTGATTGGTCCAAAATTAAAAAAGTTATAAACATTTAAAAAAAAAAAAAAATCTAGTCAGGGTTGGACTTTTCAGTCAGGGTTGGACACTTTTTGAAAATCGAAACGCATTATTGGTAAAAACGTAAAATAACATTTGTAATGTTTTTTATTCTTATTTTTTCATGTTTATCTTTACTTATTGTTTACAAATTGTAAAGCTTCATGGGTTTAAAAAAGGAATGAACTCAAATTATAAAAAATAACGCTTTATTGTTCCAAATAACTCAATGAAATGATGAACAAAATTTATACAATTTAAGTATTATTTTTCTAATATCTTTGGCACAATTTTGCACTGAAATATCAATAAAATAAAATTTATTTATAAATTGTGTCAAATTCATAATTAATATGGGTGTCCAACCCTAACTGTATAAAGTGTCCAACCCTAACTAGAAGCATCATTTTCGAATTGTGCTAACCATAACTAGACATGTGTCGCGATTCGATTTTTCACTTTTTTTCTTCTTAAATTATGTACCCCACAATACATTCAATAAGCTTAT